ATGTATGAACATTGCCAATGAGATTACCACGAAATAGTTGAATTCAACACATCCTGTGATCATGATGCTTTAAAAAAGGTCTTTTTACTTTCTTTTTTTATTATTGAGTCTACAAATGTACAACTAGCTTTCAGGAAGGAGGCCGCGACCATAGAAAGGCTAAACGGGAAAGTACAGAAATGAGAAAGATGAGTAGCGGTAGAACCTGGTACTTCCGGGTCAAAATTTTGATGATCTTAACCAGTTGACCACCACCGCCCTGGCTCTTGCTATCATGACAATTTGCATCAGATCATCATTTATTGAAATGAATATACTACCAAATATATGGTGTGCTTAATGCGAAAAAAACTACAACAATGGCTCGTTGATTTACCAATTCACACTGGTTCGACCTAGCTCCGTTCATGATCCTCTGCACGAACGAGGCTGAGGGAGGGCGAGTGTAGTCATGCCAAGAAAGTCAATATCAGTGCACGATCAACTTACGGTCTTCGTTTGTCCAAAATGGTGACAAACACCTCAATGCAATTGACCACAATTGATGTGACAGCCTGATCACTGTCCGTGAGTCGTGCCAACAACGCACTCATTGTCGCCTCGCTGGGATGGTGAACAGTCAGCAGATGTGTGAAATGCACAACGAAAAGGTGTGCAGGCGGGCAATTAAAAAGAGACAGAATAAGGAAAAATAAGTGACTGTGATATTTAATTCAAAATAATTATTATATATACATATACAGGTGTTGACCAAACTCGTGCAACATCACCCTCATTTTGAAAATCCATTTCAGCTTGCAATAGCATACTTATACATAGATGGTTATGGGTACAGTGTATTTATTCCTGACTTTATCTCCAACATCTACGTTCTTAGTTCATTTCTATCACCATTTGAATGTGCGCGACCTTGAGTGTCGCTATAAAATTTGCAGTAGTTCGAAAGTTACTGCCCTGATTTAGAAAATATTTTGGGCAAAGTAGCATGGATGTTTATTCTTTTTAATAGGTTATTCGTGTCCTATGAGAGTTTCTATTAGGTTGAGCACACGCATTCTAAATTTTTATTCTCTCTTCATTCAGTGCACAGTAAATAAGCAAATTATTGAAAATATTCTAACTTTAATAAATTGCTAAATTATTAGGCTACAAACTAATCAAGCATTATCTCCAATACTGGAAGAACTGAAAACATAGTCCAAGAAAGACACAAGCTGATCTTCGAAAGTTGGCCTTGAGATGTGCGG